ATATGTGTTGCTGTGTGCCAGGTGTGGGAGGAGGCTCAGAGAGCATGCAGGTAGATGGCTGGGCTGACTCCTGTGTAGGCAGGTCCTGAGGCAGGCCCCAAGGTGTCTGCCCCTTCCTGAGCAGCACAAGCTGCTTAGCTTCTTGGAGAAGGTCCCAGAGGCTGGACTGCCCCGGATGGGATGTGCGGGGCAGGGAGGCTGCCTGGGAGAGCCAGGCTGTCTGGGCACTGCACCACTTCTCATGCTGGGGCCGGGGTCTGTCCACCCAGAGCCACAGTGACTGCAGAAACACTTCAGTGATCAGTGAAAGTCAAAAGAGGCAAGTGGTGAGATGGGGGTACCACCAGGCCCCGGGATCAGGGGGTGAACTTGGGTAGCACCAACTTGGTGAACTTACAGTGGTTTGGTCAGCATCCCAGGGTGGAATGGAGCTGGGGAGCCTGACAGGCACTGGCCCTTCACTCACTTGAGGCTGTATACCAGGTCACCAAGTAGTGAATTTGCAGAAAAAGTATCGGTTACCTGGCTTAGAATGTTCCTTCTTGCATGCTGAACCCACTCTGTCCTTCCAGACTGATAGAAGGTGGGTGGGGGACGTGGGGCAAGTGTTGTGTGCTGAGGAGAAAAGTAAATTGAGGGAGTTGGTTGATACTTCCAATGTTTAAATGGCACACCTTGTGCTAACTACACCTGAGGCCACTGAGCAGGGCCGCCGTGTGGACCAGTCCCTGCCCCATGTCAGATCCATCTCGTGAGCTCCCATTCATTCAAAAAATATTTGAGTGCTACCACATCCCAGCCCCTTGGCTGCATGCCAGAGAGAGGATACTCTTAGCCAGGGGTCCTCAAACTTTTTAAACAGGGGGCCAGTTCACTGTCCTTCAGACCGTTGGAGGGCCAGACTATAGTTTAAAAAAAACTATGAACAAATTCCTATGCACACTGCACATATCTTATTTTGAAGTAAAAAAACAAACGGGCAAAAATACCCGCATTGGCCCCAGGGCAGTAGTTTGAGGACACCTGCCGAAGCCCTGCCTCGTGGAGCTTGCATTCCAGGGTAGAACACACTTTCCTTCGTTTCCTTGTTGACGAGTGCCCCTTTCACCACGTCACCCTCAGGCAGGTGAATTCCATTTTCTTTGCAGTAACTTTAGATGTGCTACCCTAGCCTCTGATTGCCACCAGTACCTTACTTCCTGGAGATTGGAGCTCAGGGAATACAGACATTCATAACAACCCTGTGAGGGAGGCGCCTGTTATTATTCCTGTTAGGTCCGGAGCCGAGAGAGAGACACATGAAGCCTCACGAGTAGCAAAATGCTGTTTATTTTGAGCACCTGGGTGCAGATGGGTGGAGGCGAAAAAGCGTCCACGAGAGAAAAGGGGAGAGCCTTGGGTTTTATAGAGAGCTTTTTGAGGGGGTAGTAAGTGAGCCAGAACAGCTAATTGTAATTAATTCTTTTGCAAACAACCAACTCCTCGGACCCCTGCCCCAGTCACATCCGTCCTTCAGCTCTGGCGTTGTTCCTATGAGGAGAGCTGGAGAGGGACAGCCTGCATCACAATCAGGGAGGGAGGGGGAAGGGATGCTGGCTGCAGCTGTCTGTTAGATCTACAAAGTCCCAGGACTCTCCAGACTCCTGTGGCTGTTGTTTTACAAGCCTAAGTTTTGCATTAACCACATTCTGTCCTATACATACTTTTCAGGTTTCCATGCGGAACAAACCTAACAATTCCCATTTTACAGATGTAGCAACTGAGGCTTAGAGATGCTAAATAATGCTCCTGGGCAGTCACAGCTAGATTTTAAGGTTCATTCATTCATTCTCTTAATAACCATTACACTCTAGCCACAAGGAGACATAACAATCCAAAAATGGCCCCTGAAATAAGTCAGAGAATTTATCAGCTAGCATTTGTGCAGAGAAGCAGAATAACCAATATGAAACAGGTGACTTATTATAGAAATGAGAGCTTATGTGATCGTGGGAACTGGCGAAGAACTCTATGGCAGGGTACTGACCTTGCATCTTGTGTGGGCCTGCGGGGGCAGCAGTGGGAAGAAAGGCTGGAGGTGACGTGGGGGAGAAAAGGCACAAACTACTCTGTGGGGACAAATGAGAACCCATGTCTGCTCTCATCCCTCCAGTGCTGATGACCCAGATGACCTGTACAGGAAGCTGGTGGCCTTTGACACGGAGCTGCAAAGGTAGCTGGCCCAGGACTCGGAGGAGGAACGTGGTGGAAGCCGAAAGAACTGTGTGTCTGGCTGCTGCACCACACTAACAAACTGAGACAGCAGGTAAGTGACAACATTGCGACAGCACCTAATTTTGGCAGCGTTACACACAATTATCTAAAACTTAGCAATAACGCAAAGGATGACTGTGTGTCTTTTCAACTTCATACTGCATGGAGCCTTGTCCTATGGACTCGCTGAAAGATTATTTAATTTCCTAGGTTCTAGAATCTAGAATAAACATTTGTTATCTATTTACAATTGTTTAGGGCCCAGACCCCGGGGCAGTACATGATCCCTTGAACATTTTTGCCTTGCAGAGATGCAAATGTTCTCTTGTCCTGTAAGAAATGTAACCCTGTAAGGAGTTCAGCTGACTTGGAGAGAGCTGAGCTGCCAAGTGTCAGAATAGCCAATTACAACAAGCAAAAACCGGGAGTTACGCCTTTCATCATTTACTGCAAGGGTATAAGCAAGTGGCTGAAACCAGAGGAAGCACTCACTCTCCCTGTTCCAACTTTGGCCAGGGACGAGCTCACCAGTCAAGGGTCAGGTGAGTCCACACAGACATCACCTCACTGTTCAGGATGCCCCCAACAAAAGGCTCTGATGGTTTTCTGGATTCTAGGGTGGAGGAAGAATAGCAGTGGAAAAGCCCTGGGTGCTGAGTCAGAGTGGGGAGAAGCATCTTCTAGGTTTTCTGCCTCCTCCCCTATAAGGAGGCCTGAAGAGGACCTCTGCCCAAAGTCTCCGACAAAGACACCTCGGAATGAAGGCGCTGTTGGGGCTAGGAATGCAAATCTGTGAAAGAGCAAAAAGTGGTTTTAGTGTATCTATAAGTTTGCAATCCTATTGCAGCATCCTGTTTTTTACTGATTATAAACATTTAGTTTCTTGTATTTTCCTTTGAACTAGATTTACCACGTGTTGGTTTCTTCACTGGGGTAAATAAATCTTTGTCATATGCTTACTATATATTTGTGAGGCATGTTTCTAACCTTTGCATGATTATCCTGTGGCAGTAGCAGTGTTGGGGACGGATTAGAAGTAGTGGGTGAGAAGTGAGGCTTGGGGTCCTCAGAAGGCTATTTCAGGAATCCTGGTGAGGCCATGTGAGGGCTTAGCAGGAAGAAAGGCAAGGGGGGTGTGGATGGGGAGACACTGAGGCAGGGCAACCTACGGGTATTGGCAAGTGATGGGAAACATGCAGGAGGAATGAGGTGGGCGCTTGTGTGGGTGGCAGGAGGGTAGGTGCCTGTCACATGGCTTCTGGCTCAGAAAACTATCCCCTGCAGGCCCAAGTCTTGCTCTGCTGTGCTTATCTTGTGCTTGCCATTAGCATTTAAGAAACTGGACGATGCTTAGAATTTACCCAGTTCTAGGAATGGGCAACAATTGTTATCAAATGTCTCTATACCTTCTAATGTGAAAAGCATTCAGAATTATAGTCAGATAGAAAAGAGCTCAAGCCCTCTTCTTAAAATAAAAAAAAGTGTGTGTGTGGGGGGGTGGGAGGCCACAGAAAATAAAAACATAGCAACAGGAGGAAAACACCTTAGCCTAAAACTTCTCTTAATTATAGAGATAGCACACCAAGAGACTTAATCCTAGCCCACTTCCCCTCCTGGCTCCTTAATGGTGATGGCCACTTCCTCCTGGGACCCAACAACAGTAAGCTCAGCTAATGCAAGCTCTTTTAATTGTTGAGACAGCAAATCATTTTAGGAAAGGAAGTCCACAAGTTTAAAAAAAAATGTCACATTATAAATTTCAAAGCTAAAAGACAGAACAGTAAATTAGGTTGTAAATTTGCCGAAGACAGGAATCATTTTACGCATTTAGGTGCAGGACCCAGTGATTGGTTTGGCACTATTCACCCAGGACTCAGCCTCTTCCATTTCCAAGTTTCCAACCTTCAGCTCTAGCCACTAGGATATAATTTTTTGTGTGTTTTTTTTTGTTTTTTTTTTTTTGTGACAGTCTCACTTTGTTGCCTTGGCTAAAGGCTAGAGTGCCATGGTGTCAGCCCAGCTCACAGCAACCTCAAACTCCTGGGCTCAAGCAATCCTCCTGCCTCAGCCTCCCGAGTAGCTGGGACTACAGGCATGCGCCACCATGCTTGGCCAATTTTTTCTATATATTTTTTGTTGGCCAATTAACTTCTTTCTATTTTTGGTAGATACGGGGTCTTGCTCTTGCTCAGGCTGGTCTTGAACTCCTGAACTCAAATGATCCACTGGCCTCGGCCTCCCAGAGTGCTAGGATTATAGGCGTGAGCCACCGCGCCCAGCCCGGTTGTAATGTTTTTGCTTTGCCCTCTTCTGATGGTGAAGGAGATGTACTGCTATTGTTACTGAAAATTGGGCACTTGTTCTCGAGGCCCCATCAGAAGAATGACAACAAATGGTTTGAGGAGAAGGAAAGAGGAGTTTATTACTTTGCCAGCAAAGGAGGAAAAACGGTAGACCTTGTCATCTCAAACTCCAGATTTCCTGAACATAAACAGAAATACAGAGCTTTTAAACACTTCAATATGAGTGTCGACTATAGTCGACAGCCACAGATGAATGCACACAGTGACTTTAGCCGACAGCCGTGATATGACTTTTCTAATTTTTCATTTATCAAAATAAAATTGTGAACATTTAAAAATAATGTAATGAAAACATATATGTATATGTTACCTATTCTGATTTACATTACAAGTAAAGCTGCCTGTAAAGTAGAACAAGCTTTCAGTGCTTTAAAGCTTTCCTCATCACACAAGAACAAAACAGATCCATCATCCATGCACAGCACAAACCATCGTGGGGACTATGAGTGCCGGCGGTGGGCAAGGTGAGCGCAGTACGGAAGTGGTTAAAGGGAGGGCCCCTCAGTTGTAGGCTCTTGTGGTTAACTATTTTAAGCTTTATATTTCTGCCAAATACAAAGCCCCACCTGGGCCCACTTGGGGAACTTGGATGCAAAAACAAAAAGGCCTTCTCCCTGCTCCTCCCAACCACTGGCCTGAGGCAGGGATGCAGGTTGCAGTTCTCAAAACGGTGGAGGAAGTTTAAAGAGACAGAAAAAAAATGTTTATGCCGTTCCCTGTTACATATTCCCCACTCTCAATTTTGTGCTTCCAAATCTATGGGAGGAGGGGAACTACTCTGTTACACTAGGATGAAGGCCCAGCTAAGGAGTCAGTGCTATGGGTGGTTTTTTACTTTTTATTTTGGAATTTCACATTTATAGAAAATATCGCAAAGATATCGCAGAGAGTTCCTGTATACTCTTCACCCAGCTTCCTCTGATGTTAATCTTAGGTAACCAGAAATATGTTAACATTTGTGCAATACTATTATTAAACTACAGATCAGCATTTCTCCTAATGCCCTTTTTCAGTTCCAGGATCCAATCTAGTATACCACATTGCAGTTAGAAGGGTCATCGTTTTTATTTATACCTACCCACCTGGGGTTTGCACAGATTAGATGTAAAAGGGTTTGTAAACTGAAGAACTATGTAAACATGACCAGCATTTCTTTATTCATTGTCATTCTGGTTAATTATGAAACTTACTGAGGCTTCCCTCACTAAGCCGCAGGATGTTAGTAGAGCAAGACTTCATTATTAAAACTACTTTAAAACAATAGCTGTGTACTTTCATGTTAATCCTTACAACAATTTATTATGCTTGTCAATGAGACTCATAGGAGTTACCTAACTTGCTCAAGAATATATGTTGAGACCTTTTCAGGTCCTCCCAAGATTGGGTCAGCTGCCTTTTTATGTGCTGCCCCATCATAGCACTTACTATACAGTCCTGGTTACACTAGAAGCTGCAGGTGCTAGGAACTTCATTTTGTTCACTGATCTATCCTTCCTATCCAACATTCAGGCATATAGAATATATTCAAAAAAGTACTGTTTAGATCAATCAAAGTTGGTCCTGTATCTAATGCTGAATTCAGAAAACTTCTGTTTCCTTATAACTTATAGTTCATTGTTTGTCTTCCCCTACCAGAAGGTAAGATCTATGGAGTGCAGACAGTTGTGTTTTGCTCCTTGCTGAATCCTCAATGCCTGGAACCGGCCTTGTAAGAAACTGGCACATTGTAAGTGTCAGTAATATGCACTGAATGACTATGTGGAAATGTCGACTTCTTCTTTTGGCCAACATACCCTGTCTTTTTGTGACATCAGCGTATTTTTTCCTGATGCTGATTTCAGTGTAATAATGCTCAAGAACAACCACAACACTGTGGCGTGGGTGAGTGGGGCGTGCTGAATGCTCTGCGTTTCTGAGCTACACATTCACTTGCAGCTCAGTGGTGATCCACAGGAACCACAGGAACATTTTCTCCAAGAGCACTGCCTGCGGGAAGGAGGCCCTGGCGGCTGCACAGGTGGCCTATGGACTCCACACTCTGCAGCTTTGGTCCACCACAAGGAAATCATGACCTCAGACCACTGTGCTCTTGAGATCCATGTCACACTCATCTCCCTTTTGCCAGAGTGAAACTCTTGCAGAAGCAGTAAAAAGCAACCTGCTTGTAATAGTCATTAGCTGCATTTTCTTAGGAGTCAAATGTCTCTTGCCAGAACCCTTCTATTTCAAATCTATTCATTTTTGGTCTTTTATTAGTGATAAGGTAACAATCACAGTCACATTAAGGAAAACTAGAATATAGAAAAAAAAAAAAACCCATCATCCCAACACAAGTATGTTTGGAATTTTGTATTTCCTTCCCCTGAAAGTATGTTAATATATACTGATTTAACTAGTTTGTGTTCTGATTTTTTCATTTAACATCATATTATGCTTATAACATAAGTATATTTCTGTGCTATTGGACTTCATAACCATCTGTTTAAATGCATGGCCATACATTTAAGGATTTTCAGATATATTACTCATTTTCATGTCAGATATGCCAGGAAAAGTCACCCAGAGAGTTTGAAAAACAAAAACTCTAGGTACTTAATATCATTAAGACCCTGTTAAATGTCATGATTACAAAACAAAGATTCACGGAAGTTATACAGATAACAAGTACATGCAAAAATGGTCAACATCATTAGTTAGCAGGGTCCGATCACAGCTCACTGCTGCCTGGAGCATTCCTCCCACCTTGGCTTCCGGAGTAGCTGGGACTATACGCTACAGCCACGGCTGCCTGCTGCTTCAGTACCCTTTTTAGGCTCCTCCTCTTTACCTTCCTGTTTCAGCTTCTCTGCTTTCTGTTCTTTTGCCTCAAGTCGATAATTGATGCCCATGCCAATGAAGAGATAGACACCGGAAATAATTAGGATTATGCCACTTGCCCAGTATGTGTATTTGTAGTCTCCATACATGTCATTGAGACGACCTAAACATATTAAAAACAAAAAAGTTACATGAGTTAGAGTAAACAAGGATACCATTTCCTAAAGAAAGCCTAACGAGCCACTCAGAGAGAAGATGTCAATCCAATCTTCAAAAATCCACACATGACAAATGAGTATAAAAAATGAACTGTTAAAAATTATCTGATCTTTTATTTATAATGTCACACTAATTTTCAGCCACCTGGAGTATTCTGTTATTTTTAGCAATTTAAGAATAATTAACTCTTGGCAAATTTGAATTGGAAAAGATATAAGGATCACCTAGAATCGATACACTATGGAAAACACTGTTGCTAAAAGAGGTTTAGGAGTCTTGTCCAAGACACAGAGCTGTTCCAGTTACCTAGGCCAATGCTCTTTCTCTATCAGCATTTCCCAGAGTATTCCTGAAAACATTTGTCCTATGCTAGAAATTTAACTCACAGCAATACCTTACCACCAGTCTAAGTGCTTAATGCTAACAACAGGCAGATTCTATCATTATCCTGATGGTATAGATGTAAAAGTTGAAATACTGAGACATTAAATAATTTGTCCAAGGTCACAAAGCTAGTCAGTAAAATACCTTGGCTTTAAACCCAGGAAGTCTGACTCTGAAGTCTGCATCCTTACTGTGCTTCAGGTTACTTCTCTCATGTTTCAAAAGTCAAATGAATTTGGGAAATGGCATATTATTTTTTCCTAAAGACTTTGTGATATCTGGTAGTAAAGAAACCTATTTAACATGATACTTCCAAACTTCGTTTTGAGCATGACACTCCTATTACAGTAAAATTTATTAGCATCTCATCAAACTAGTATCTACTAGAATAAACTTTGGAAAACTCTACTCTACACTTATATAGGACCTACTACAACCAATTCAAATGGGATTCCATATGGCTCTCTAGCCCAGGGCATCATTCATTTAGCAATATTTATTGTGCCTCTATCATATACCAGGCACCAGCTGTGCTAGGCCCTGATGATAAGCATGAGCAGGAGAGATGACATCCACAGTTCAGTGTAGAAGAGAGATGTTAATCAAATATTTTAACTACACAAACTGTGAAAGTGCTACTAGGAGGGTTTTGAAAGCAAAAAATACATGGTTGGGACCAGCAAGTGGGGTCAGGAAGGCTTCCCTTAAAGTGTCAACTATGCTGAGACTTGCAGGAGGATAGGAGTTATCTAGGAGAAAGGGGGTGGGAAGAGGATCCAGGCAGAACAGCAGTGCAAAGGCACAGTGGTAGGAGGAGGCACAGTATGAGAGGGGAAGGAGGAAGGGCCAGGTTGCTGAAGCAGAGAGAACAAATGGCCAGTTGAAGGAAACGAGGCTGAGAGACAGGTAGGACCAGACCATGCAGTGCCTCGAAAGCCACATTTGGGAATTTGATTTTTACCTAGCAGCAATGGGGAGCAACTGGAGAGTTTTAAGAAATCTCTAAGTGTTCTGAATTGGAGACTTCGAAGAGATTGAAGAACAGCTAGAGTGGATATAGGTAGACCAGTTAGGACAAGCCCAAATAGGAGATAGGAGCTTTGGATAATGGTGGTAGTTATAATGGAGAAAAATGGGCAGATTAGAAAAAGATTGACAGGACTTGGTACCTCATTGGGTACAGGGAGTAGTGTGGGAGGGGAAGTTTTGAAAAGTCAGTAGTGGATCTTCCTTTATGTATCCTTCCTTACTTTATAATGCATAATCTCAAAAGCATGAATCATATCCAGAGGAGGGCCAAATTATTATTGTATTTTGTATTAATATATATTTTTTGATACAGGGTTTTTCTCTGATGCACAGGCTAGAGTGCTCTGTTGCCCGGGCACAATGATAGCTCACCACAACTACAAACTCCTGGGCTCAAGCAATCCTCCTGCCTCAGCCTCCTAAGTAGCTGGGACTACAGGTACATGCCACCATGTAGCCAATTTTTTTATATTTTGTAGAGATGGGGTCTCACTATGTTGCTCAGGCTGAATAATTTCTAATTATAGAGAATGTGGTATTCTTAGAACATAATCCATCAAGTTTTATGGTTAATTACTAGCAGTGTGATCTTGGGCAAGTTATTTCACTTTTAGAAGCCTCTATTTCTTCATTTATAAAGTGGGACAATAACAGTCCTATCTTGTGGACTTGTGAGATATGACAGGATATATAAAATGGTTAGAACAGTCTCTGGTATACTATGAGCCCTTCACCTGAGAGCTATTGTTGTTAATAATATTTTAAATATTACTACTGAGATAAATTCCACGATTAAAATGAGGCCAGGTGCAGTGGCTCAAACCTGTAATCCTAGTACTCTGGGAGGCTGAGGCAGGAGCATCTCTTGTGGTTTGGAGTTCGAGATCAGCCTGAGCAAGAGCAAGACACCGTCTCTACTAAAAATTTAGCTGGGCATGGTGGCGCATGCCTGTAGTCCCAACTACTTGGGAGGCTGAGGCAGTTAGGATCACTTGAGACCAGGAGTTTGAGGTTGCTGTGAGCTAGGCTGATACCAGTGCACTCTAGCCAGGGCAATAGAACAAGACTGTCTCAAAGAAAAAAAAAGAAAAAATGAAATCACCACTAGTACTTTAAAGGTAAACTTGTATATTAAACATTTTTCTATAATAGCCATGTTATTTTTATGATCAGAAAAAAATTATCTTAAGAAATACTGATGTTTGTAATAGCTTTGATTCCCCTTTCAGCTTGATGGTTCAATTTCATTCAGTTCTGTAGGTATTTGAACAGTTATGCTGTACCAGCACCAAGGGTACAGAAATGAGAAAGAGCTGGTCTTGGTCAAACAGTTCACTAATCTCTGCTTTCCATTGCCTTGCCAATCTTATACGTTTGTTTTATGATAACAGAGCCACAGAGGTAGGGAGACATACTATACCTAAAATCGGTGGCCCCAGGAGTATAGGACAGCATTCCACAATGGTCACCAATCCCACAGCGCTGGAGAACCTTTGAGATCCGATGAGGTCCATCAGTGTTTCAAACAACACGGAGCTAAACCACCCAAAGGCGAATCCAAGGAATCCCGCATAGACACAGAACCCAACGTAGCTGGTGGCTAAAGGTAGTAGCATATGACACACCCCATTTGCGATAACAGAAGCAGCAAAGTAATACTGAATTCTAGGTCTTATCCACTTTGTGTTGGCTATAAGTCCCATAGAAGGTCGGGCTATAATATCGACAAAAGACAAAACAGAAAGCAAGAAGGCAGCTTTCTCACTAGCATACTGCTGACTCTTGGCATAACTATTAAGAAAGATTAAAGGTGTAGCCAGTGCAAATGCCAGTATCACATTACCAGAGAGGTATAGTACAAAGCCTCTGTGAGTGAACAGGGATAAGTCCAGAAACTTGTTAATTGTTTGGAAAACAGATTCTTTCTCCTCTTTGGGGTTTCTTCCATTAAATTCTGCAATTACATCCCCTGCACCTTTTTTTGCATCAGATTTTCCAGTTTCCTGAAGGGATTCTATACATCTATCTTTCCCTGTGTTGCTTGGCTTGGGCCCTATTGGTCGCATCAGGGCTCCAGCTACACAGCAGTTTAGTAAGCAGCCTCCAAGAATTAGGAAGCTTCCTCTACAGCCAAACATATCAAAGAGAGCCTGATTGAGCGGGGCCAGAGTAGAGAGGAGCACAGGGCTGCCTGCCATGGCCAGGCCATTAGCCAATGGTCGCCTCTTGTAGAAATACTTGCCAATCATGGTCAGAGCCGGGTTCAAGTTGAAGGCAAGCCCAAGACCTGGAAGGGAGGGAAAAAAACTACATACTATAATAAATTTCAGAAACATATTTGTTATTAACTAGACAAACTGGAATGAGGACAAAATCATAATCATTATGAGAGATGCCATTATAATTAGTAGATCATTAGGTGAACAAATAAACACTCATAGACATAAGTATAGGTAGCAGATACCTGATTTATAATATAACATGAAAATAATTCTTTTCACACTAGCAACTAAAGAATAATAAATGTAAGATCCTATATTTATTTAGTTTCATAGTATTAACTATTCTGAAGAACAGGAAATTGAAAACAAAAAAGAGAAAGAATAAATCTTGTGAGTTCAGAAAGTAAGATAGTGAGTGAGCCAAAATATTTTTGGATGGTAAAAACACATCGTCAAAGATGCCAATACTACCCTAGTAAATCTATTAATTTAATGCGATTTCTTTCTTTTCTTTCTTTTCCTTTCCTTCCTTCCTTTTCCTCTCTCTCTCTTTCTTGACAGGGTCTTGCTCTGTTGCCTGGGCTATAGTGCAGTAGCATCATCATAGCTCACTGCAACCTCAAATGACTAGGTTCAAGTGATCTTCCTGCCTCGGCCTCCTGAGAAGCTGGAAATACAGGTGCTCACCATCACACCCAGCTAATTTTTGTACTTTTTCCAGGGACAGGCATCTCACTATGTTGCTCAGGCTGGACTTGAACTCCTGGCCTCAAGCGATCCTCCCACTTCAGCTTCCCAGAGTGCTAATATTACAAGCATGAGCCAGTGTGTCCAGACAATTTAATGCAATTTCTATGAAATTGTCAATGTTTTTTATTTTTTAAATGAGGTAAAATGACTATAAAATATACATAGATGGCTGGGCTCACGCCAGTAATCCTAGCACTCTGGGACGCCAAGGCAGGAGGATCGCTCAAGGTCAGGAGTTCGAAACCAGCCTGAACAAGAGCGAGACCCCGTCTCTACTAAAAATAAAAAGAAATTAGAGGCCGGGCGCAGTGGCTCACGCCTGTAATCCTAGCACTCTGGGAGGCCGAGGCAGGCGGATTGCTCAAGGTCGGGAGTTCGAAACCAGCCTGAGCGAGACCCCGTCTCTACTAAAAATAGAAAGAAATTAGATGGACAACTAAAAATATATATAGAAAAAATTAGCCGGGCATGGTAGTGCATGCCTGTAGTCCCAGCTGCTTGGGAGGCTGAGGCAGAAAGATTGCTTGAGCCCAGGTGTTTCAGGTTGCTGTGACCTAGGCTGACACCACAGCTCTCTAGCCCAGGCAACAGAGTGAGACTCTGTCTAAAAAAAATAAATAAATAAATATATCTATATATATAATGTCAATACACACACACACGCCTAGAGAATAAATACAATAGAAATATTTGAAAGGGAATATTTAATGGGTGGGACCAACTCTAATTGATATATAAATACATTGTACAGCTACAATAATTAGAACAATGTGGCATTTATTCAAAAATAGAAAAACTGGCTGGGTGTGGTGTCTCACAGCTGTAATCCTAGCACTTTGGGAGGCTGAGGCGGGAGGATCACTCAAGGTCAGGAGTTCAAGACCAGCCTGAGCAAGAGCGAGACCCCGTCTCTACTAAAAGGAGAAAGAAATTAATTGGACAACTAAAAATATATAGAAAAAATTGGCCAGGCATGGTGGTGCATGCTTGTAGTTCCAGCTACTCAGGAGTCTGAGGCAGTATTGCTTGATTTATTTGGCACTTATCTACCTCTGTGCTCTTGTCTCGGTTGCCCTAGAACCTTCACACTAGCTGCTCCCCTAGATGTCCACAAAGGCAGCTCTGAGCTATTATTCAGGTCTCAGCTCAAAGTTACCACATCAGAGAGGCCTTTTCTTTAGGGATTATCAATCCTTCTCCACCAAAACTCTGTTTTTACAAAGCATTTATGACTACCTGGTATTTTTCTTGTTTATTTATTTATTTGTTGGTCTATTTTAAGAGCAGGAATCTTGCCTATCACGTGGACTCTAGCCCCACGGTGCCGGGAACATGACTGGCACGGTGCCTGGCATAGAGTAGGAACTCAATAAGTATTTGTTGGATGATCTAATAAATGAAATAATGAACAGGCTACATAACCATGTGGGAACAAATAAAGTTATGTTCCTTCCTTCTTAGGTTATTAAAATATTCTAGATGAATTAAATGTTTAAAGCATTTAAATGTTATTTAAATGTTTGAAGCATAATTAATGTAGTCAAAATATAGATCCAAAAATATAATACTTGTTATCAGCATTCGCGCATATCTTGTAGATGGGACTGTAAATTAGTATAATCTTTCTAAAAGAGTAATTTGGCTAATCATATCAAAAACCTTTTACCCCCATAATTACACTTCTAAAAATTCATCCTGAGGAAATAATCATTTTCACAAAGATGTAGAGAGTAGCACTATCATACAAATACTGTTTATCAATAGTAAAAAATATAAACGATTTAAAAGTCCATCAACTAGAGAATGGTGAAATGAATTATGGGTCTACCCAGTGGAAAAAATAGCTGTTAAAGTATATTTACTGAGATAGGGAACTATGCATGATGCATTAAGTTAAAAACTCTGATTACAAACATCACCCATAATCTCATCTTTCTGTTCTAAAATAATTATGTGTATGTGCATAGAAAAACATATGAGTGGAGATAGCATAAAAATATTAGTGGTGATTTTCTTCAAATTACAGAGCTAAATGGTGATCTATATTCTTTATACTCATTAGCTGTTTCATTTTCTTCATTTTGCTATTAAAAGGGGGAAGGAGAGTTCTCCTATCTGCCCTTTACCCCTTGAAAATGTATTTGGCTTCTCTGCCAGAAAATTCCTGCTTTGTATCTGATGTTCTTGCCTACTCCAATTTCTTCTTGGATGAATGGGTTTGTTATGAATGGGAACAACTGATGACTACCCTTTCAACATCTTGCCACTCATCCTTTCCCTACTACCACCACTGTTTTTAGCTTTCTTAAGACCAAAGAAAGAAAAGAAAGTCTTTCCTTCAACTTATTCATTCAACAAATAATAATCAATGTTTTTCTTTAAGGCTAGTCAAGTAAAGCAGTAAGAGTGGAGAAGAAACAAGGAAATCTGTAACTGGTTGTGATCAATTAGTTGTAAATACCAATGCACTCAGACCAGCCCCATAATCACTAATTAAGTATCAGAACTTTCTTTAAAGCTTGCCGTGGCTGGCTGTGGTGGCTCACGCCTATAATCTTAGGACTCTGGGAAGCCGAGGCAGGAGGATCACTTGAGCTCAGGAGTTCAAGACCAGCCTGAGCAAGAGCGAGACCCCATCTCTACTAAAAATAAAAAATCAGCAGGGCATGGTAGCATACCTGTAGTCCCAGCTACTTGGGAGGCTGGGGCGGGAGGATGGCTTGAGCCCAGGACTTTGAGGTTGCAGTGAGCTATGATGATGCCACTGCAGTCTATCCAGGGTAATAGAGTAAGACTGTCTCAAACAAAAAGCTTGCCTTTCTGGTACTCTTAAATTAACATATCTATAGCTCTTAAAAATAACAATAGTATACCTTTCTAATAAAGAAATTTAATTTCTCAAAAGACTTGGCACATGACTGCTATAAATATTCCTCAGAAAAATTAATGCTTAAATTTGTATCACTAGCAACTCACCTCCAATGACTCCAATACACAAGTAAAGTTCCTGTACAGTGTTACAGAAAGAAGCCGCAATCAAGCCACAACCTGACAAGCAGCCACCAACAATTATGACTGGACGGCTGCCATATTTATTCACCAGGATACTGCTGATGGGACCTAAGAGAGAACAAACGACTCAGTAATACACAGCAGAAGCCCACTCCTCACACCCATACCCCTCATTACTGACAAGAAAGGGTGCCAAGACAACAATCCCCCAGCCCCCAAAATAAACAGATGAAACAAAAGGCAGTGGTAAGGAATGTTGCTTTCTATCATTTCAGAGTCATAAGTTTATGTAATGGAAAAAAATAGCATCGAGTGTACATCTATACATCTAGAACATATTGGATGGATTTTAACTAAAGTATAAAAGATCTTTATCTCTTCTAAGGCAGACCAGGCTACAAATATTCTGATTATAAGTGTTTCTAGGGCTCTTCATGTATCTAGAATAGTATCTACATAAGTGTAGCAAGTTTGCTCTGTTTCACATTTTTTAGATGGGCATCTGGAGTGGAGACCCATGACTATGACAAGATGTATGAACAAATCTGATCAAACTTCTGACATCAGAGCATATTTACAAACTAGCTTAAATGTGTCTTGTTTCTCATGAAAGACAACAACAACAAAATCAAAACAAAACTACAAAATAAGAATGCCTACCATTACCACTTTTCTTCAACATTATACTGGATGTCCGAGCCAGTGCAGTAAGACAGGAAAATAAGGTATAAGGAAAGGAAGAAACCAAACTATCAGTATTTGCAGAAGACAGTTTTATTTATCTAAAAATTTTGACACAATCTATCAATAAACTATTGGAAATAATAAAGAGTTTAGCAAGGTTACAGGACATATAATAAAATACAAAAATCAATTGCCTTTCTATACACTAGCAACAAACAGAAAACACAATTTTTTTGTTATCCTTTATGATACCTGTTTTATAATATTTTAATTGGCCAAACAGAGCACATAGTTGCTATGTAGCTTTTATGGATAAGAGCTATGAAAAACATAGCTTCAAAAACCAACATTTCAAATACTTCACTAATAAAGTCATCAAGAACAAAAAGTATTTAATATAGAGCTTTTGAAAAAGAGCAGGCCTAAGTGGGTACTCACCTCCACCATACATAACAGAGAACATGATAGAGGATATCCATGATACTTCGCTGGTGCTGGCATTAAATGTATTTTCAATATCTTTGTAAAATACAGAAATAGATTTGCCAAATGCACAGGAGAATCCGATAGAAATGAAAGCTCCAACTGTCACTGCCCACCCCCAGCCGCCATCTGGGGGTGCATAAACCACTGGACCTTCATTTGAGGGTGACATTGTACGTAAAGATGAATTCCAAAATGTGCTTCAAATCCAAATATCTGAAGGATATAAAATTAACATAGTACAAATCAAGTAGGTCAATAACAAAGCACTCCCACGAAACCCCTAACACGACGTTACAAATACCTGAATTATTTCTCAGTGTTACTTGTCCTCCATGAATACAGTAGAAAAACCGCCTAAGAGTTATGGGATTGCCCATAACTTTTACAGGCTTCAAGTTAAAAACTCTCCAACACTTGAACTGTACACTAAAATCCTTTTCAATGAATGTAGTATTTTTTCTTCAAATTCATAAGCATACCTGTTGCAATAATTGATAACAGTAATTTTCTACAATACCAAAGATAATCAAATGACTCATTTGACTTAACTGCTTGCAAAAGTCACATAATACACACCTTATAAGTTTCACAATTTAGTATTTCCCTTATAGTTTCTCTCCTTTCCCAAAATACATCCTGCAATACTTACCTAGTTTTTACTTCCTCTAGTACTTATAGGTTAATTTTTAAATGTTAGGAAGGCTATAGTGATATCTGCAACATATTGGACACATAGCAATTTACAAAATAAAAGATTACTCCAAATATAAGATTCTCATTTAATGGACTGAAAAGTTATCTCAATAAGGTTTGTCTTTGATCTAGCTGCTTGGATTTAAGGTATTTCTTTTCTGTAACTAGAAAGATTCCTAAATGATAGCTGACCAGTATAGTTAAAATCTTTAAAATGAACCAGGAGAAGCTGGTAGATTTAAATCAAAGATTCCCCTTTTCTTCTTAAGTCACCCAGTACTAGTGAAGAGCAGAGTTAGAAAAGAAAATATACTATAAGATTATGAATTAGTAGCAGGTGGGAGGGGTTGGGAACAGGTTTACTAGTCTACTTTAGAGAAAGTACCCTTTCCTCTCTGATTTACTTAAGCCAACTTCAATTTTATGTCCAAATTAACCTTGTACCACTATGTTACCATGGCCATTTCTGGCCACCTGGCGTGGTGCACTACATTATTAATACTGTACATGTCAAACAATCCCATTTTTTAAGTGTTATACTGCTTAGTGTATAAATCCTTGCTTCCTATCCATAGAAGTCAACTTTTATTTTTTTTATTTTTTATTTTTTTTCGTCAGAAATGGACTACGAAAGAAGTCAACTTTTAAATAGCTCAGCTGCTAACCAATCTAAACACTTCAAATATAAATTAGAAAGTGATCCTGCAGTGATAGAAAAAAAACTTTAAAAGCTTTACAAAATTCTTAGAGTTTGTACAACTTTTGTTAGATTTATTTCAAGGTATTTTTTCTTAGTCTTGTAAATGTGTAATTTTAAAACATTTTCTGGCCGGGCGAGCTGGCTCACGTCTGTAATCCTAGCACTCTGGGAGGCTGAGGCGGGTGGATCACTCAAGGTCAAGAGTTTGAAACCAGCCTGAGCAAGAGCGAGACCCCGTCTCTACTATAAGTAGAAACAAATTAATTGGCCAACTAAAAATATATAGAAAAAAATTAGCCGGGCATGGTGGTGCATGCCTGTAGTCCCAGCTACTCAGGAGGCTGAGGCAGGAGGATTGCTTGAGCCCAGAAGTTTGAGGTTGCTGTGAGCTAGGGTGACGCCACAGCACTCTAGCCCAGGCAACAGAGCAAGACTCTTGTCTCAAAAAAACAAAAACAAACCATCATTTTCTGTTAGTTGCTGGTCAGTAGACACAATTAATATGTTTAAATAACAGCTTTACTGACATAATTCACATATCATAAAATTCACTCTTTGAAAGTATATATCTCAGTGGTTTTTAGTATACTCACCCAATTGTATTAATACAACTATGGCCACTATCTAATTTCAGTACATTTTAATCACTACAAAAAGAAACCCCATACCTATTAGCAGTTACCCTATTTCCCCCTCACCCCAGCTCCTGGGAACCACTATTTACTTTCCATTTCTGTGAATTTGCCAATCTGGACATTTCATATAAGTAGAATCATATAATATGTAATCTTTTGTGACTAACTTCTTTTACTTAGTATAATGTTCTCAGGATTCATCCATGTTGTGGCATATATTAGCATTTCATTCCTTTTTATTGCTGAATAATACTCATTTTATAGATAACACCACATTTTGGTTACCTTTTCATTACTTGATGGGCATTTGGGTTTTCTGCACTTCTGTCCTATTATGAATAACGCTGCTATATTTGTGTACGAGTTTTTCTGTGGACATAAGTTTCCAATTCTCTTGTGTATATACCCAGCAGTAGAAATGCTGTGTCATATGGTAACTCTGTTTAACATTTTGAGGAACTGCCAAACTGTTTTCCAAAGTGGCTGTACCATTTTACAACTCCACCATCAATAGATGAGGGTTTCAATTTTTCTTGTCATCCTTCCATCCTTGTCAACATTTGTTAATCTTTTTTTTATGTTTAATCATTCTAGTTTGTATGAAGTGGTAACACATTGTTATTTTGATTTCATTTCTCTGACAACTAATGATGGTGAGCATCATTTTCAGGTTGAGTGTCCCTAATCCAAAAATATAAAATCTGAAATGCTCTAAAAGTTCAAAACTTTGAATGCTGACATGATGCCATAAATGGAAAATTCCACACTTGACACCAAGTGATGGGTCACATTCAAACTACGCAGTTTATTCAGCATCTCCAAAGGCAAAAAAACCCCACTAGCCCTTCAGGTGCAATGTATCTTTTCATGCATTCCCAGGTTCGCCCACACAAGCACATCCACAAAGAGTGATAAAATGGCATGCGTGCAGGCCAACAGCAAGTTCCCCAGGATATCCCACATGGGGCCAAGACCTACATGCATTCCTCATTGCATGTTTTTGCTTATTGTCTGCTCAATGGTATAAAGATAATGTTGGAGATGTCCAAAAGGCCTGCAGATACCCCTATGCATAACAGTAATAAGAAAAAGAGGAAGCATTTATGTTTATCTATAGCAAGGAAAGTCAAGCTGGTGCAGAAATTGAACAGCGATGTGTGAAACATGTTACAGAAAAGTATGCTGTTGGAATGACACCCTATATGGCCTGAAGAAACAGGATAAACTGTTGAAGTTCTGTGTTGAAAGTGATGAATAGACGTTAATGAAAAATAGAAAAACACTGCATAAAGCTAGAAATGAAGACCTCAGTAGTGTATTAAAAGAGTGGATCTGTCAGCATCATAGTGAACACATGCCACTTAATCATTTGCTGATCATGAAACAAGCAAAGATCATGATGAACTGAAAATTGAAGGGAATTCAACAGGCTAGTTGCTCAAATTTAAGAAGAGACATTGCATTAAATTTTAAAGATTTGTAGGGATAAAGCATCTGATGATCACAAACTAGTAGAGAAATTCATTTATGAGTTTGCCAAGGTGATCATTAATGAAAATGTGACACCAGAAAAAGTCTATAATGCTGATGAAACATCACTGTTTCGGTGTTATTGCCCCAGAAAGACCCTGACAGCAGCTGAGAGAGAGCCCTTACAGGAATTAAGAGTGCCAAGGAGGGGGTAACTGTGCTGGGGTGGAGTAGGCACACAAAGTACAGATTTGCTATGATGGGTAAAGCCTTGCATCCCAGCTGTTTTTAAGGAGTGAATATTTTCCAGCCCAATATCATGCTAACAAAAAGGCATGGATCACCAGAGACATCTTTTCTGTTGGTTTCACAAACATTTTATACCAGCAGTTTGTGCTCACTGCAGGGAAGCTGAACTGTATGAAGACTGGACTGTAATAAGATTTTCTTATTCCTTGATAACTGTTCTGCTCATTTTCCAGCTGGAATTCTCATAAAAAAAAAATGTTTATGCCATGTACTTTCCCACAAATTTAACTTCATTAATTCAGTCAGGTGGCCATGGTATCCTTGGATCATGATTGACAACTGTGTAGAAATGTGATTGGACAAAAAGAGTATGATCTAATACTAACAGACTGAGTAGGGAAACCCAGCAAGGCCTGTCTGTTCAGATTCTTCTTGGACTCTGTGTAGCATGCTTTCCTCCAGGGAAAGGGCAGAACCCCTTCTGAAATAAGGGTCTATTACCCATAATCAGAAAGGCAGGGCAAGATGGGACCTGTGAAAGGAGAGAAGAAGGTCATTGAGAGAGAGATTCTGTTTTCTGAGGCCTGCTTTGGAGCCTCTAAAGTGCCCTAACAGTATAACAAAAGACTAACAAGGGCTAAGAGTTATGAGCCAGGACCCATGGCCAAAAAACATGTATATAGCATCATACCCTTCATTAGGTTTGGGGTGTTTTTCATCTATTGCTAGTCACTGAGTGTTTTTTAAATCAGGAAAGGGTGTTGGATTTTGTCAAATGTTTTGTGTGTCTATTAAGATGATCATGCGGTTTTGGCCTTTGTTCTATTAATATGGTTTGGTACATTGATTTTCATGTTGAAACATAAATTCTTTGCATTCCTGAGATAAATCCTAGTTTGTCATGGTATATAACTCATTTTATATGTTTCTGGATTCGATTTGATTGCATTTTGTTGAGGATTTTTACATCTATATAAGAGATATTGGTCTGTAGTTTCTTTGTCTTGTGTTATCTTTGGTTATGAATCAGGATAATAGTGCATTACAACAAGTTGGGAGGCATTTGCTGCTCTTTTATTTTTTGAAAGACCCTGTGAAGAATCAGTATTAATTCTTTAAATGTTTTGTAGAATTCACCAATGAAGGCACCTGGGCTTAAGGTTTCTTTGTGGATCGGTTTTTAAAGATTACTTCAATATCTTTACTTGCTATAGGTATATTCAAATTGTCTATATCTACTTGTGTCCATCTGGTAGTGCCTTTCTGGAAATGTGTCAATTTCATCTAGGTTATCTAATTTGTGGTAATACACATGTTGATAATATTTCCTTATGACCCTTTTTATTTCTGTAAGGTCAGTAGTAATGTATCATGAGTTTAACCAACTGTACAGTTACAGGAAACACCCTCACTTCTGACACCAAGTTCACAAGTTGGAGAGGGTTCTCAAAACCACCCTCAGGTTT